GCCTGTCGCTGTGGGGGATGGGGGGGAGTGTGAGGGGTTGGTGAGAGAGATTTTGCAGCACCAACAGCCGTCCCCCCTCCTCTCTCTCTCACTGCTGCGTTTGCAGCTGTGGGGGGGAGGGTGAGAGAGGGTGGCGGAAGACAGCCGGGTATCTGCTGCTGCAGCCCGCTGCTACTTTGGCACCTCCAGCTGTCGCCCCTGTCGCCACCTGCCCTGTTTTCTGTTTTCTGCTGCTGGGGCCTGCATGTGCTGCCGTCGAGCCGCTGCTGTCCTGCTGCCTGATGCAGCCACAGAGCCTGCTCCTCAGGCGACCTGCCGCCTCCCACACCTGTTACTACTTCTTCCTTGGCTGAGGGTTGGCTACAGCTGTTTCTGCCACTTTTGCACCGGTTACCACTGCTTTTGCCTGCATCTGTTTCTTCCGCTGCACCTGTATGGTGTACCCCATTATGGGGGCGTTGACTGCACTTTCTTCCCTACAGGCACTTATGGGGGCGTGTCAGAATAATATATAACTCTATATATTGTTTTGTAACTGCCTGTAGTGTAGAATACTGTAGTCATAGAAGTTTCTGTTTGGTGGTGCACCTTTCTTGCTTGTTCTTTCCTATTTGTACCCTCGCTCAATATTGAATCACCTCTCTTTTGTCAAACTCTCTCGACCCCTTCCTCTCGTCACTCTCGTTCTACCCAACACCCTAGTGCCTAAGTCTTAACTACTTCTGAGACCCACGTGGTGCAGTACGTCGGTAAACAGCCTCGGTCAGGAGTTATACCGCTGTAGTTGCTGTTGCGTTTTTTCTACCCCAAAATGTCCCGAGGTAATCCCGTTGTGTGCCTCCTGCAGTAACAGCTCCCTCAGTAGCGAGTTCTCAGGTTCCCAGATGCGGTTGGTGCCTTTTTTTTACGTAATAGACTCCTCTGGCCTTTGCCAGTTGCTGTGGATTTCCGGCTGTGAAAAATGGGTCGGTACTGTATCCGTGGGTAAATAGGCCTATTAATAGTGGGTTGGTTTGGGTGAGTAGGATAGCGTGGAGTTGGGCAGTGGGGCGTGTGAGTGCGTCGGTGATGTTGGATGCGCCTTTTTTGTTCGTGACCGTGTAGTGGAAGTTGGACTCCAGATAGTCCAACCAGCAGATCTGTCGTGGGTTGAGATTCGGTTGGGCGCAAAGTTACTGTAGGGATCGGTGGTCTGTCCGTACTGACGCGTCTGCTCCCGTGAGGTAACATCGCCACACTTTGAACGCGTGCACAATTGCCAGCATCTCGCGGTCGTGTATCGGGTAGTTGCGTTCGGGCGGGTGAAGCTTGCGGGACTCGTACGCGATTGGCTGAAGGCTGTTCCCGAAGTCCTGCAACAGTGGTGCTCCCACGGCGATGTCGCTAGCGTCGTTGTCGAGCTCGAACGGCCGGTGCGGATCTGCAATGTGAAGCACGGGCGGCGAGCACAAAATATTTTTGAGGGCCGAGAAGGCAGCTTGCTCTTTCTCGCCCCATGTATACTCAACCCCCTTTCTCAGCAGGTTAGTCAACGGGGCAGTCAGCTTCGCCATGTCGGGGACGAACCGGCGCACGTAGTTGACGAACCCCAGAAAACTCTGCAACTCGGTCAAGTTGGTCGGCGCGTGCCATGCTTGAATCGTCGCGAACTATTTCGGGTCTATTTGCACTTCTGCAGCTGAAATAATGTGTCCCAAAAACTTGAAACGCATTTGTCAGTAGGGGGTTCTCACTCAGTATTTATAAACTGCTTCGATGTTCTGTAAATGCTGTGCTCTATCGGGGCTGTAAATCCGTATGTCGTCAAGGTACACGATGACGCACTAATCTAGAAGCGGGCGAAAGGCTTTGCTCATGGTCATTTGAAAGGTGGCGGGGGCGTTGGTCAGTCCGAAAGGCATGACGGTGTATTCGAGGGATCCGTAGCGTGTTCAGAAGGCTGTCTTAGGGCAGTCGGGTGGGTTGACGCGAATTTGGTGTTAACCTCCTCGAAGGTCGATTTTCGAAAAAACCCGGGCTGTACGCAGTTGGTCGGCTCGCGGGATGGGGTAACGTGATTTTATGGTAACCCGGTTCAGTGCTCACCCCCGTCTTTTTTCGGTGTGAACAGTATTGGTGCTGCGAAGGGCGAAGAACTAGGGCGAATGAACTCCTTCTCGAGCAGGAAATCCAGCTGCTTCCTGTGGTCGTGCGGTCGCTGAGGTGGCAGTCCCGTCGGTAGGTCGTCCGGGAAAATGTCACTGTACTGCTTCAACAGTGCTACCAGATCACTCGGTACGTCGGCTAGCACTTTCTGTAAGCCCCCTCCTTTGTCTGCTGACTCGGCTTCCCGTATGTCGACCGCGTACACGTCAGCTCCTTCCGCTACAGCGCGTTTCATCGTGATCGCGTTGACATGCACCGACGAAGACTCAGGCGAGCCCCAGCGAGGTAAGGCGATGTTGTTACCGTTCACTCGTACAGTGCAGTCACCCGTCGTCCAGTCGATTTGCGGATCGTGTCGTCGCAGGCAATCACGGCCGAGTAAAATATCGGTTCCGTCGAGGGTCGTTGCGAGCATTTCCTGGCTAAACGTGAAGTTGCCCCCGCATCGAATCTGAACTCGGTCCACGCGTTCCCGTATCGCCAGTGGCGTACTGTCGACCAGTCTTGCGTCGATCTTAGGTAAGCATCTGTCCAGTGGCAGTCGCAGTTTTCGTGTTGTGGCAGTGTTGATAAGGCTGTGGCTGGCCCCTCCGTCTACGAAGATTTTTACTAAGTTCGTCCCGATTTTCCCACTAAGTAGTATAGGGCTATCTACCGTGGTACCCTCCTTATTCGGCCGGGTGTGGTCGATTGCGTGAACCGGCACAATCACTCGGTGAGGGTCGGTTGGGTCGGGCGAGCGGCGTGATTTGTCAGCAGAGGGCCCGTCTGCTACTGACTCCCAACGTTTCCCTGGTGCTTGGTCTGTTTCTGCTTCTCAGCTTCCCCCTTTCCCTTAGCGTTTTCCGGGCATTCGCTCTTACGGTGTCCCGGCCGGTTGCACGCAAAGCAGCGCCCTTTGAACGGTGTGGCAGCGGCATTTGTGGCGACGGCACGTATCGTAGCGCCCTCGTTTGTCCCACGAGGCCGATGTCCCCAATTGCTGCTTCCGTAGGACCCCGGTCTAGGTCGGCGGAAGAAATCGAGTTTCTCCGCCATGGCGAGAATCTCCCGAAAATTGGTGACGCTGCCTAGCTGGATTTCGTGAACGATGTCTCGCTTCAGGCTGCCGATGTTGCGGTCGATGCGCTCGCTCTCATGCATGTATCCCACCTGCTCGCATAGCGCCAGAAACTCGCTCGTGTAGTCTTGGACGGAACCGAGTTGGCGCTAAGTGCGGAGCCTCTGTCGCGCCGCGATCGAAGCTGCAATTGGCTCGAAACGAGCGCGCAGACCTACGCACCACACGTCCCACGTGCGATACTGGGGCACCTCCACGAAATACGACGGCGCCCAGGGTCCGGTTTGTCCTTCCCGTGTCGGTAGAGTCGCGTAGTCCACCGGCTTCGTGACAATGAGACGCCACCAGTCCATGGCGGGTCCTCGCAGCAACGACACGGCTTAGCGAATCTTCGCCGTATCCTCCGAGACGTAGTTCGCATCGAAGAAGACATTGAACGTGAAGAGCCACGCCTGAACGGTGGGACCACCCCGCTGACTCGGATCAAAGCGTGGCGGACGCTGCGGCATCGGCGACGGTAGAGTTGATTCGCCGGCCGGCACTGAAATCGTGACTCGAGGCTGATTCCTGGTCGCATTCGTCGCATCGGGATGTATCGTGTCATGGTCGTCGTCTCCGTCATGGCGGATGACGCCATTACTCGCGGCGCTCGCGGGTTGCCCCACACTTTCGTGTTGTGATGTCTGCGGTTCGGGCTGAATCGGAGTGCCCGGTGGTTGGGATTGTGCTCGTGCGAGGTCGTTTTGCAGGGACGTGCGTTCTGCCGTCAGCGCCGCGATTTCTTCAGAGCTTTCGCGGATTTGCTGCTGCAGTTCGTTCAAGTGGTCCTGCGTGAGAGTCGCGACATCGATATGCTCAGCCATTACGAGGGACGTCGGCTCGGCTTAGTCTAGGCGCAGTCGCGGCTGCACGCGTTTACGCGAGAACGCGAGGACAGCGGCTCCTAGAGGCTAAGGTGCGTGAGTCCCTTCGAGTGAAAAATCACAAGATTTCCTGGGGTGCGGAGATGCGCGGTCCGAAAGAAAGAGGCTCTGAATACCAAGTGTTACGGGTGCAATGAATCGGAGTAGCGAGAATTGCACTAAGGTGTCAAACGAGTAGAAAATGTGAGCGAAGGCATGAGCGAACATTTATACGCGAAACCTGCAAACGGTAACGCGGTGCGTGCGAGCTAGCTAGTGCTATGCTGGAAGCGAGGCTCGGGCTAGTCCCGAAGCGTAGGCCGACACGGTCAGTGCGAGGTTTGGTGAAACAGTGCGTGCGAAGTCGACGAAGCCCCGTTAGCAGTAACGGGCGAACAACGGCTGCTGCCGTACGCGATGTTTCAGGGCGCTAAAAGGAATATAAAATCCTTACAACATTGCACATCGTCGGGAGTTAGATGTCGTACGAGCAATAAGTAAAATCCATGCAGAAACAATCAAATTGGATACACTACAAGGATATTGAAAGTATGCTCTTCCCTTTGACGTTTTCCACTACAGTTTGGCGAAAGAGCCTGTATGGAAGGTAGAACTTCGTTTCTCTCCATCCACCCATCCATCATCCATCCATCCATCCGACATGCATCCAAACCCAAACCACCATACATAGCTCCATCCCTCTGTCCCTTTCACAAACCTCCCAAACCATCCCCACCATACGTAGCTCCATCCCTCTGTTCCTCCGTCACATTCATCATTCAATATGGAAGCATTTTTTTTTAGCAAACCCTAATTGCGATAAGGTCCAGCTGAGTTAGGGTTAGTTAGAGCCACTCGACCTTCAGCCAACGATACTTGGTCTATTAACGCCCATGGCGAGGTATGTGCGCATCGCACTCCACGACAAGTTATCTGTGTGATTCTGAATGTTCTTTTGTCTCTCCCGCGGATCTTGGTCTGTTGATTTCTGTTTCGTTGAAAGGTCTGCGTTTTTTTTTTGCTTCGACTGTAAGCTCCCTTCGTTCGCCGTACTCGTGTTCAGTTGACTCGTCTACCTCAATTTTATTTCCCCGTTCCTCGCCCGCTCTCCCGTCCCCCCCTCCTCCCCCCAGCCTCCCCCCTCCCACCCCCCCGCCCCTTTTCCTTCCCGTCCTCTCCCTTTGCTTCGACTATTCGTATGCACCCCTAACCTGTCACCGTTTTGCCGATTGACATGTTCAATTCCCGTGTGATTCTTATATTCTGACCGTTTCTTTTTTTCGTCAGCCCCCAACATGGCGAGGACGGCCGCGTCGACCCAAACTTAGTAGACTTTGACGACTATGGCGACGCGGACCCGCAAGGCGCTGCGGACGTAGGAGGCGGAGGTAACGACAACGATCACGGTAACGGTAACGATAACGACGACGACGCGTACTACGATGCGCGGCTCTTTGAGGACGAGGAGCCCGACGAGCGCGGCGGCAGGCGGCTCGTGAAAAAAGGCGGCGGCGGGGGGAGGGAAGACGAGGAGGAGCGGTGGGAAGAGGACGAGGGCGGAGAAGGAGTGGGGGGAGCGGACCCGTGGGACCGGAGGGATAGGGGGAAAGGGGGGAAGCGGAAGAAGGGTAAGGAGGGGCGGAAATCGGGGGGGAGGCTGACAAAGGTGAAGAGGCCACGAGGGGGTGAGGAGTGGGGCGGCGGCGGAGGCGGGGGAGGGTATGAGGAAGGCGGGAGAGAGACGTGGGACCAAGGACCGGCGAATTCCGAGGTGAGGAAGGGGGAGGATTGAGGAGAGGAAAGCTTGTGGGAAGCCGGCAGGGCGGGAGATTCGTTCTCTCTTCCATGCCGTCACTACTCCCCCTCGTCTCTCGTTCCCTCACATCATGCCTCCTTTTCTCTTTGCTGTCGCTTTCTTCCTCGTTTCTCCCGCTCCCTCCTTTGCTCTCTCCCCCCCACCCTTCTTATTTCTCTTTGCGGCCTCCCCCTCTCCCCCCCCCCCCCCCCACCCCCCTTCCCCCCCTCTTTTCCTCCACTCCTCTCTGCCCCACCGTCTCCCCACCGTTAATCACCCATTTGCATCCTCTCTCTGGCTCCAATCGCTCCGTCTGTCTTCGTCGGGCCTACAATTTCCCCCCCAATCCCCCGCCCCCTCGCCTATTCCTCGTCAATTTTCGCCAACCCCGCTTCCCTCCGCTCCGCCCTCCCGCGACTCCCCCTCCCCCCCCCCCCCCACCCCCCCGCGCGCGCGGCATCAGGAGGACGTGGAGGGCGCGCGCACGGGCGAGGACGACGCGTTTATCGACGACGCGGGCGTGCATCCGGACGACAGGCATGCGATGGGGTACGACGAGTACGACGACCAGCGCATCTCCCACGCGCCGCAGGTGCGTCTGGGGGGGATTTCTGGGGGGACTCTGGGTGTTTGGGGAGGATTTGGGGGGAGTTGGGAGGGGGGGGGGAAAGCGGGGGGGAGGGATGGATTGGGGGGGGGATATGTAGGGAAGGGGGTGGTTGGGAATCGGTGGAGGTTTAAGGGGGAAGGGAGGGGGAATTTGAGGGAAGGGTGGGAAGGGAGGGTGGTGGGAAGTTAAGGCGGGGCGCTGCTAAGTGTGTGGGAAGGGAAGGCGGGGAGAAGATGCGTGTGTAGATTCGAATCAAAGGAATCGCCTTCTCCCCTTTCCCTTCCTGCATCACACTCCCTGTGCGTGGAAGCCTGAGGAGGACAGACAAAGTGGTGCGGCTGTCCCAACCAAACCCTCCTTCTTCCCCTTATCCATTCCCCCTTTCCCCAACTCCCCTTCCCTGCCCCCCGGTTTCCTGCATCACACCACACTCCCGTTCCCTGTTTCCTCTCCCCTTTCCTTGCAGGCGGAGGAGGAGGACGAGGTGGGGGTGGGGCCGCTGTTCCAGGGTGAACTGTTCAAGAAAGAAGCGGCGGCAGCGCACCAAGAAGCGTTTGAGAATTCTCAACCGCGACTCACATTACACTCTCGCCCCTTTCCTTGCAGGCGGAGGAGGAGGAGGACGAGGTGGGGCGGCTGTTCCACAGCCTTGCATTCGCGTAATTCTTCTCCCCCTCCACCCCGCCTCCACCCCCCTCCCCCTTTTCTCCCCGTTCTCGCCCCATTCTCTGGGCAGGCGGAGGAGGAGGACGAGGTGGGGCGGCTGTTCAAGCACGTTCCATTTGCTTAATCCGTCTTCCTTTTTTCAATCCGTCCTGCATCACTCACACTCGCCCCTTTCCCTTGAAGGCGGAGGAGGAGGACGAGGTGGGGCGGCTGTTCAAGGGCGGGAAGAAGCGGCGCAACGAGATGAGCGACGGCGAGAAGGCGCTGTTTGTGGAGGAGTTCCACGCCAAGATGCTCAAGGCCGCCGAGGACGACGCCACCGCCAACCGCCAGCACCGCCCCGCCATTAACAAGCTCAGGATGCTTCCCGAGATGCTGAATACTCTGCGCAAGTGAGGCACGGGGAGGGGGAGAGGCTTGGGGGAGTTCTGGGGGATTTTGGGAGGTTCTGGGCGGTTCCTGGGGGTTCTGGGGGGTTCTGGGCGGGGTCTTGGGAAGGGGAATAGGGGATGAGAGGGGCGGGCAGTGGCGGCAGGCTGTCGTCTAGGAAGGCGCTGTTTGTGGAGGAGTTCCACGCCAAGATGCTCAAGGCTGCCGAGGACGACGCCACCGCCAACCGCCAGCACCGCCCCGCCATCAACAAGCTGCGCATGCTGCCCGAGATGCTCAACACGCTCAGGAAGTGAGGAATTCGGGGGAGAAGGGGTGGGCGGGTTCTGGGGGGGCTTGGGAGGTTCTGGAGGGTTGTGGGCGGGTTCTGGGGGGTTCTGGGCGGAATTGGGGGGTTCTGGGGGTTTGGGGGAAGGGGAAGAGGGGATGGGAAGGGCGGGCAGTGGGTGGGGAGGGGGCAGGCTGTTTTTTGATCGAGAAGGCGCTGTTTGTGGGCGGACAGGCCGCAGAGGACGCCGCGCGGGGGACGTGACGGTGGTTGCTCAAAGTGAGGGTGCTGTGGCGGTTCTTTGGGGGGGAGATGAGGGCGGAGGAGAGAGGAAGAGCGGGGAAATGGAAGGGAGGAGACTTTTGAGTCGACTCAAAACGAGGTGACTTCTGAGTCGACTCAAAAGTCACCTCGGGACGTGACGCAAGTGAGGGTGCTGTGGTGTTCTTTGGGGGGGAGATGAGGGCGGAGGAGAGAGGAAGAACGGGTAAATGGAAGGGAGGAAGGACGCAGCAGCAGCAGCAGAAGCAGTGTGCGGTTTTTGTTCCTCTCACGCTTCCCACGCTTCCGCTTCCCTCCCTCCGTTTCTCCCTTCCTCCCCTCCCCTCTCCCTGCCCGTCCCCTCCATCTCTCCCCCTCTGTACCCCTCTCTCCTTTCTTTCCCCCCCAATTGCCCCCTTGCTTTGCCACCCTTCCCCAGGAAGCACCTACAGCGCGAGTTTTTAGACCGCGGCGAGTTGTCGTATTTCAAGAACTGGCTGGAGCCGTCCTCACGCCGTTCTAGATTGCTCTCACGCTTCCCCCACTCCTGCCTTCCTCCCACTCCCCATTGCACCCCCTACCACTCCCCTGCACTCCCTTTCCCCTCTGCGCCTCCTACCTCACCTCAGGAAGCACCTACAGCGCGAGTTTCTAAATCGCGGAGTGTTCTCGTACTTCAAGAACTGGCTGGAGCCGCTGCCTGAGCTTTTCCTCTCGTTCGTCCTTTTCCCCCTTTCACACCCTTTCCCACCCCTTCCCCACCCCTTTCCCACCCCTTCCCACCCCTTTCCCACCCCTTCCCACCCCTTCCCACCCCTTCCCACCCCTTCCCACCCCTTCCCACCCCTTCCCACCACCGTCCCACCACCGTCCCACCGCCGTCCCACCGCCGTCCCACCTCACCTCAGGAAGCACCTACAGCGCGAGTTCCTAGACCGCGGCGTGTTCTCGTACCTCAAGAACTGGCTGGAACCGCTGCCTGACCTGTCGCTGCCCAACATCAAGATCCGCACCAGCATCCTCGAGCTCGTTAAAGAGGTGCGTTAAAGTGGAGGTGGGGGTTGAAAAGGGCGTGTGGAGGGGGAGAGTTGCTGGCTGGAGCCGCTGTCGGACTTGTTGCTGCCCAACATCAAGATCCGCACCAGCATCCTTGAGCTCGTTAAAGAGGTGCGTTAAAGTGGAGGGGGGGAGAGGGGGGGGGGGGGGGGGTATGGTTGGGGAGGGGGGGAACGGAATGGGAAGGGGGGGAAAGGCGGGGAAGAGGGACGGGGAAAAAGCGGGGAGAGGGGTTGGGGGGGAGGTGGGGAGAAGGAAGAGGGGATAAGGTTACTGGGGTGTATGTAGGGAGTGAGTTGTTGGCTGGAACCGCTGCCTGACCTGTCGCTGCCCAACATCAAGATCCTCACCAGCATCCTCGAGCTCGTTAAATAGGTACATTTGGGGGGGGGGTATGGTAGGGGAGAAGGGGAAATAAACTGGGGTGAGGTGGGGATGGAGGGCGGAGCAGGGGAAGGGCGGACAGGGGGAGAGGGTGGGAAGAAAGTAACAGGGATAAGGTGAATGGGGTGTGTGTGTGGAGGGGGAGGAGAGTTGGTGGCTGGAGCCGCTGGCCAGCTGCCATACCTGCCCCTGCTCCTTCTTTCTGCCCACAGCTACCAATATGTTTCCACTCTAACGTCCCTCTGCCTGCCGCTCTCCATGTTCCCTGCGGCCTCCCCTATCGTTGTTCCCTTCCCTCCCTCCCTCCCCATGCCTCTCGCCCCCACTCCTTCCGGCCGCAGTTACCAATAGACGTGGGAGGCAGCCCGGAAAGGAGGAGACAGCTCAAGGAGAGCTCTTCCCCCTTTCACCCATCCTCTGTTGTTGCGTCTCCGCCCTTGCCTCCCTCCTTTCGCCTCCCCGTCCTTCTATCCGCAGTTACCAATAGACGTGGGAGGCAGCCCGGAAAGGCGGAGACAGCTCAAGGAGAGCGGGTTGGGCCGGGTGAGTGTGAGGGAGAGGCGTGAGGTGGGAGTTGGGTGGGAGGGTGGGTGTGGGGAAGAAGTCTTTATGCGTAGAGTGTCTTTATGTGCACCCTCTGTGCACCCTCTGTGCACCTTCTGGGAGGGTGCAAAGTTGTAGATTGTCTCTGTGCACCCGGTCGGTCCGACTCCCCACCCGGTCGATTCGTCAACCCCACCCGGATGACCCGGATAATCCGGTTCCCCGTCCGGATCACTATCCGGTTGGTCTGGTTCCCCACCCGGTACCGCACCCAGTTGGTCTGGTTCCCCACCCGGTACCGCACCCGGTTGGTCTGGTTCCCCACCCGGTACCGCACCCGGTTGGTCTGGTTCCCCACCCGGTACCGCACCCGGTTGGTCCGGTTCCCCACCCGGATGACCCGGATGATCAGGTTCCCCATCCGGATGGTCTGGTCGATCCGGTTCCCGACCCGGTACCCCACCCGGATGGTCCGCCTCCCCACCCTGGACCGGGTCGATCCGTTTCCCCACCCGGATGACCCGGATGACCCGGATGATCCGGTTCCCTGTCCGGACAGTCCGGTTGATCCGGTTCACGGCTGGTCGGTCCTGCGCTTTCTTCAATGAAAGTGGGTTGGTCTGGGTGAGGGGAGTGAGTGTGTGTGGGGTGTGAGGACCTCGGTTCTGTCTCTCGGCTCTCGTTCTGATCCAACGGCCCTCCTTGCGAGGGACCTGGTCGACAATTTCTCATTCTTTCTCCGGTGACCCACCTCACCCTTCTCTCCCTTATCTCCCCCTTCAAACCCCCTCAACCCCCTCACCATTCACTCCTTCTCACTCCCCTCGCCCCTCTCACCCCCCCGTCCAGGTGGTGATGTTTCTGTCCAAGCTTCCAGAGGAGACGGTGCAGAACAGAAATCTCACTGATGTGCCTTGAAAAGCTTTTCCAAATCTCTCCCCACCTTTCTCCGCCACTCCTTACCTCCCCTCCCTCTCACCCCCCGTCCAGGTGGTGATGTTTCTGTCCAAGCTGCCAGAAGAGACGGTGCAGAACAGAAAGCTCGCGAGGGATCTGGTCGACATGTGGGTGCGTTGCTGCCTTGCTGCAAGGGGGCAGGGGGGGTATTAAGGGGGACACAAGGGGTGGGACAAGGGAGGGCACAAGGGGGGGGCACAAGTGGGCACAAGGGGGGTCAAGGGGGGTCAACACAGAACAGGAAGCTAGCAAGGGACCATGGGGGAAACAGAAAAGGGGGTGCGTTGCCTGCTTGCAAAGGGGGTCAATGGACCATGGGGGAAACAGAAAAGGTTGCGGGATGGGGGGCAAAGAGGGGACAAGGGGAAAACTGGAAGCTAGCGAGGGACCTGGTCGACATGTGGGTGCATTGCTGCCTTGCAAAGGGGGGTGTTGCCACCTTGCTGCAGGGAAGGGGGGAGAAGGAGGAAGGGGAGGATGGGGGGTCGGAAAAAAGGGGAAGGAGGGCTTTTTGGGAGTGTGCAGGGTTGCCTTAGCAGTTGGGGGGGTTGTGGGTGGGAAAGAAGAAGAGCACTCACTGTTGTGAGCTAGGCCGAATGAGGGCCTTTAGCTGCTGGGTTTTTTTGTAGGCGCTTCAAAAACGACCTCAATGGGGGGGTTGTGGGTGGGAAAGAAGAAGAGCACCCACTGTTGTGAGCTGAGCCGAAGTGAGGGCCTTTAGCTGCTGGTTTTTGAGTCCACCTGCTTTCACTTCTTTGCTCTCCACTTCTTCTGCTCCCTCCCTCCCCCCGTTTCATTCGCGTCCATTTTTTTCAAGAGCATGCACGAACGTGATTTAGGAGGAGCATGGCATCTTAAATGATAAAACAATTCCTCTTGCCCATTCCTCTCTTCCCCACCCCATCCCCCCCCCCCCCCCCCCTTCCCCTCCTCCCTCCCCTCCCCCTCCTTCCTCCCCATCGCCCCCTTCCCTTCTCTTTCCCCTGCAGTCACGGCCCATATTTGAGAAGAGCACACACTACCGTGACTTGAGGAACGACTATGACCGACCCACACGCCCTCCACCTTCACAGAGGTTAGTACGACAAGAAGCAGCAACTCTTGGTAATATGTGCCTCCAATTGAGTTGTGTTAGTTTGTTGTGGGCGTTTTCTAATTACTCAAGAGAATGTGCGTTGCGAGTTGGCACTGAGCAGCTCAGCCGATTGTGTGAGGCTTGCAAACCGACTGCGCACGCTCGTGTGCGGAGAGTGAGGTCATGTGCGCGCAACTTCCCCCACCCGCTCATGTGCGCGCTGGTCATGTATCGGCGCAATCGCGGCCTGATGATTTAGATTAAAAGAAACTCTTGTTCTTTGTCAAATTCTTCCAACCCAACCAACACCCTTTGCCCTCTCTCCCTGTGTTTATGGCATGCAGGGAAGATGCGTCAGCGCATGTGTCGTCGCACTCGCGGCCTGACGACCTAGATCTAGACAACGCCGGGTGAGTTACGATGGGTCACTTGAGAGTCAGCACTGGGTGGGCTTTGGGTCTGCGTTGGGTGAGCTTTGGGTTGAGTTGGGATGGGAGCTTTTATGGCTCCTTTGTGTCTGCTTCAGGTGTGCTGTGTTCCAGATGTCTTCCAGCTGTGTTCCAGCTGTGTTCTGGCTGCTTGCCGCTGTGTTGTGCCGGCTGAGTCCCCTCCCTTCTCCCCTCCTCATCCTCCCTCCCTCCCTCCCTCCCTCCCTCCCTCCCTCCCTCCCTCCCTCCCTCCCCCCCTCCCTCCCTCCCTCCCTCCCTTCCTCCCTCCCTCCCTCCCTCCCTCCGTCCCTCCCTCCCTCCCTCCCTCCCTCCCTCCCTCCGTCCCTCCCTCCCTCCCTCCCTCCCTCCCTCCTCTCACTCACTCACACACTCGCTCCTTCGGCCTTGCCCTATCTCTCGCTCACTCCCACACTTTTCCCTTGACTCTCCGTCCGACCTGTTGACTTCCGGGTGACGCAGGGAGGCGAGGGGGGAGGCGGAGGAGGGGCCGGGGAAGAAGCGGGTGATGACGCGCGTGCCACAGCCCATGGCCATGGACTTCCGAGTGCGCCCCGAGTCCAAGGTCACCGAGGAGATGCTGGCTCGGCGCGGCCAAAAGGACGCCAGACACCAGAGCGTGAGTGCCGTGGGGTGCGGTGCAGTACGGTGGGGTGGGGTGGGAGTGGGAATGGGGGGAGATGGGAATGGGGTGATGGACTGCTGAGTGCCACCACTCCGAGTCCAAGGTCACCGAGGAGATGCAGATGCTGGCACGGGCGTGGCCACAAGGACGCCAGACACCAGAGCGTGAGTGCCGTGGGGTGGGGAGTGAAATTGGGATTGGAGTGGGAATGGGACTGGGATTGGTAGTGGAATACGGTGGGGTGGGGTGGAGTGCGGTAGTAGTGGGAACGGAGGTGGGAGGGTGGAATGGGAAGGAAGGGGTGTGCGTCAAAGCGTCTTAATGTGGGGGGGGGACGAGGATGCCAGACACCAGGGACGGTTGTTGAGGAGTGGCAGTCCAAGGTCATCAAGTAGATGCTGGCACGGCACGGCCACAAGGACGCCAGACACCAGAGCGTGGGTGCCCTGGGGTGTGGTGTGGTGGAGTGGGTTGGAATGGGGTAAGGTGCAGTAGGAGTGGGAATGGGGTAGGTGGGAATGGGAGGTTGGAAATCAGATCGTGGCTAGGGGAATGGGAAGGCAGGTGCGTGCTTTGCGTGGTTTCGATGCTCGGGCATTACGGTGTTAAATACCGAAACGTGAGTGGGAAGGGGAGGGGAGGGGACAAGGGAGGGTAGAGGAGGGAGGCCAAGGGAGTTGTTAGCATGGGGATATGTTCTCACTGGTATTGATTCTATTTATTCTGCTTGCTGGTGGTGCTGTGGCACAGGTGACCAAGAAGCTCCAGAAGCTGAGGCAGAGCAAGAACAAGAACCTGCGTGCGGAGAAAGTTAGTGTTCAGGGCCGAGGCATGGTCAAGTTTGTATGAGCCCAGTTTGCCTAGCATTCATTTGTGCTGTAATCTAAGCCTTGTACACATTAGAATTGTGAGCATCCGTCGATCATAAGTGACTGGGCGGAGCTGGAAGTGTTGGTGATCATTCATTTGTGAATATTGGGGTAGTGGTGACATTCACATCTGTGATATTTTTTTTTTTTTTTTTTTTTTTGGAATTGGAGTATACATTAAAGAGGACAATGCATACAGCAATAGCAGTCGTAACTGAGCGTGAGGGCAGGCACCTTGCGCTGCCCAGCGAGACAACTAGGGCGGTTGGAGAGCCCTCTTGGGTCTGTTCCAGATGGCCGCAAAGCTGTCCGACCAGCCCCACTTCCTGTCTCCGACTTTCCTGATCCTCATCAGCATCTTTTGTTCTGCTTCAAAAACCCCCCTAACCTTTTTGAGTTTCCCCAGCTTGCCCGGCCTCACAACTTTCGCCCCAGTCACTCTTGTGTACACCCTTACGTGCAGCCGGAAAGCCGTCCCGATTCTCCTGAGCACCCGCCGGGCTCTGAATTTTTGCCCACGGAAGCTCGCCTCGCAGCGTTCCACCCACAACTGGTGGAAGGTGATGGCCGTTAGTGTAGCCTCTGGGAAGTCTGACGTGGTACCAGTTTCCTGGAACAGTAGATCACCGAGCGTGGCAGATGTCCTTGTGGGGTTGAGCATGCGCAGAGCGCGCCAGAGACCAGAAACCACAGGCTGAATCACCGGGCAGCTAAAAAGGCAGTGATCCTGTGTCTCAATCTCTCCACAGTACGGGCACTTCGGCTTACTGCTGAGAAAATCCACCCTCTCCCCAACCTGAAGGTTGTGGTTGTGTATACGCGTAAGGACATCACGCGGTCGGTTCGGGATGGCAAGCGAGTTTCTGGTGTGGATAATTCGGTCCCAGTCTATCTTCCCGCTCCACTTGCCGACCCACTTCTCCTGCTTCGTGGAGACCGCGACTGGCACAGCCCACGATTCCCTCAGCTGCTTCAGGGATGACAGCTGCCCGTTCGTGAAAATCCCCGAACGAAAAATTGTAGCCGCTGCATGTTCGCCACCGCCGCTGTTCCCAGACGATTTTTTCACCCCAGATCCAGCCCCCTTGCCACTGGCATCCGGGATGAGCACTTCCTTCCATTCCTGCGGGGCTGCATCAAGTGCTTTGAGAGCCAGCCGGGCTGAGTCCCTGCTACGCAGCTCCCGCTCAAGCGTATCCATGTCCTTAATCTCCACCGTACCGTCCTGACGCGTGGTTACCAGGTCACCCAGCCTCGTCCCCCAGAGGCCCTTAGCCTCCTTTTGTCCACCCACTGGGTTCGTGCAGTTCAGAAGCAGCTTCCGGTTAAAAACCACCCTTTCTTGCGCCACCTCCTCTTTGCTGTCTGACTTCCCAGTGTCCGCCATCGGGGATTTCATGAAAGTCTCGCATGTCTGTAACCAGCGCTCGTTTTCTCCCGGCCAGTGCTTCAGCAACCGTTCATGAGCCAGGAACGTGTCCTCTCCGAGCGGTAATCCCGCCGCCTTGAGCGTGATTTCCCTTTTTTTTTGGTTCTTCTCCAGCAGCAAGCAGCCAATCCTTCTCGCGGCAAGGCAGGCGAGAAGCACTCCTGGGTCCAGAACTCCGAGACCTCCGTCGGCTTTCGGCGTGGTAAGCAGCCCCCAGTTCCACAGCACAAACCCTTTCTCAGCCGATGCATTGTTCCCCGTTAAGAAATTGTGAATCAGCTTAACGAGCTTCTTCCAGATCTCCTCTGACGGGGGATAGACCTGCGCCTGGTATGCTATTCTCGGTGTGATGTAGCAGTTGATAATCACAACCCTCGCCGCAATCGTGAGGAAGAGCGCCTTCCACTTAATCAACTCCACTATTATTTTTTCAAAAGCCCGCTTCCAGGTCGGCTCACTGCTTCCAGAGGGGGTGACCCAGACTCCCAGGACTCTCTCCGCTTCGTCCGCATTGGCCCATTTAAAGCCGCCCAGCGTCCTTGGTCTCCTCCCAATGTTGTGGCCGATCGGGAGGATCACCGATTTGCCCTTGTTCGTCTGCAGCCCTGACAGTCCAGCAAACCAGGCTAACAGCTTCTCAGCCCTGGCGATTTGTCTTTTCCCATCCAAAAAGAGTGTCGTGTCGTTCGCGTAACCGACATACGCTAACCGTTGGTTTGCCTTGTTGCAGAGACCAATCTTCCGACGCTCTGCCTCTTGCGCCAGCGGTTCCACCGCGCAGAGAAACAGGTACGGAGCGAGTGGGCAGCCCTGTCTCACCCCCGACTTAACTTCCACTGCTTCCCCCAGCCAACCGTTGATTAATAACCTTGTTCTTGTGTCTTTGTGCAGACCTTCCACCCAGCCGACGAATCTCTCTGGGAAGCCCATTTCCTTGAGGGTGCTGAAAAGGAAGCTTCTAGACACCGAGTCGAAGGCCTTGCGGAAATCTACCAGCAGCATGTACCAGTCTTTATTCCCCTTTTTCGCCGCCTCAATAACATCAGCAACCACACCGATGGCCTCCGAGATTCTCCTGCCGGGAATAAAGCCGTACTGCTCCGCCGAGATCACCTTGTGCAGGTGCATCTTCATCCGGTTCGCCACCACCCGCGCCAGCACCTTGTACGTGAAGTTCAGAAGTGTGATCGGACGATAGTTGTCTAGATTGTCCTTCTCTCCCTTTTTATGGAGCAGAATAGTAATCGCTTCTTTGATGCTTGCAGGAATGGTTGCTGAAACCGAGAAGGATTGCGCCATGCGGAGGAACTCCTTGCCGAGGACATCCCAGTGTCTTTCAAACAGCTCTTTCGGGAGCCCATCCTTCCCGGGTGATTTGCCGTCTGCAAGCGCTTTGATGGCCTGTTTAGCCTCCTCTTCTGTCCAATCTGCTGCGAGCCCAGCCGCCGACTCTGCATCCAACTTTCTCCCAGCAAGCGGTTTCCACCGCTCTGTTGATGTCCGACCGTCAGTGCCGAAAAGGTCCGTGAAATACTGCGTCGCGGCCGTCAGAATCCCGGGTGAGTCAGAAATCTTGACGCCTCCCACCTTCAGCTCTGCAATCTGTGTCTTCTGCTTCCTGACCTTGACTCTCGCCGATAGGAAAGGCGAAGGGACCTCCCCAGCTAACTCCGCATCCGTCCCTGTCATCACGTGAAGTCTGTCCCGTTTTGATGCATGGTACTCTCTCAGCTGCGCGTCCCTGACGTGAAACAGATCACTCGTCTTTAGACAGCTCGGGTTGCGCATCTGCTCCTGATGTAGCTCCGCCACTACCTCCGCCAGATGAGCCGTTGTTTTCTTTACTCTTTTGTTCTCCTCCTTCATGTACGCACGTAAACCAGCATTGAGCCTCCCAAGTAGTAACTCGAAATTACCATCTCCATCCTCAGCCGCTTTCGCCAAGGCAGCCTCTACCGCTTTCCGAATTCCAGGCCTGCCCAGGGCTGCTGCATGCAGTCTCAAGATGCCAGGACCCAGGTGAGAAGATGCTTTTATTTTTAAGGCGATTTTGATCCCAAATCCATGATTTGAGATGTACTCCTCCGGCCGTATGTGTGCAGCTATATCAAGATGCGGGAGCAGCGAGCAAGAAACTAGCGCGCGGTCAATGCGAGAGCTGGATTGCTTGGATGCAGCGTAAAAGGTGTACTCTCTGAGCTTAGGGTGAAGCGTGCGGAAAGCGTCTGAGAGTTGAAAGCGGTTGCATCTTGAAATAAGCCTGTCGTTTTCTAAGGAAGTGCCTGATTGTGACGTCCGATCTAAAACTGGGTCTTCTACCATGTTCAGGTCTCCCAGGAGAACTACGTGGTCAGTGGTGGGGATCTGGTCAAAAGCCGGGCCGACAACGTTCTTCAAAAAAGAGCATCTGTCAGTGGCATCTGCGGGAAAGTAAGCAGCAATGAGGGTAAGAGTGAAATCGAAGCGGCTAGCGGTAGTTACTATCAGTCTCCCTGATGGGTGTGTGCTGGTGTTCGTGAGAAGGACGGAGGGATCCCTGGTAAGAACGGCAACGCCGCCGGCTTTATCAGTGGGTGGCGTTGTGAGGACTGTGGTGAAGGATGGAGTTTTCCAGTAAGTGTGGTTATCCGGAAGTCTTGTGTCTGTGAGAATGATGATGTCAGCTGCTGTTCTAATCCAGGTTGAGACTCTGTCTTGCTTTGTTTTGTCACCTAGGCCGTTGACGTTAAGGCCTGCTAAGGAGAAGAAATTTTTGTTACTCATTTGATAACTGCCTGGAGGCCCCTGTTCATCCACAGGCCGAAGATGGTGACAACACTGACTACTGCACTCCACCCTACAATCGCCAACAGTACACTGTTCTCCTTCCGCAGCCTCAGAAGCTGTAATCCTTCTTCAAACCGGCAAGAGCAGCCTTGTCCATGGAGGCTTTTGTGGCAGTACCCATCTTCTCCTGGTTCAGCAGGTGAGTCGAAGAGATGATGTGATCCGCCGCAGCCAAGAAAGTTTTCCCCTTCGCCTTCCCGCAGCACACTTGCGTGCAGATCCATTCTTCGCGGTTGCTGCCGGTCGAGACAAGAGCGATGGATGGATCTTTCAGTATGGGGGTGACGAGAGCGGAGGTAGAGACGCAGCTGCGAGCGCAACAGAGATCGTCAGTGAGAGATGAGAAAGGTAAGTCTGCGATGTAATGAAGAAAGCTGATGCAGTTACCATTGATACTATGAGCTTTCCCCAAGGTTAGGTTCCACTTCCCTATATTGTTCTGCCGCTCTGTGATGAACAGATCATGATAAATGTCATAATGCTGTCCATTGCAGAGCTGACAGGACAGTGCAGGGTAGTGGACCATGAGCTTTTCTCCGGACCCCATCGGGCTGTCGACCATGTGGCGCCAGCGATAACGATCCCCAGGATGCTGCACGACCAGGCCTTTGATAACATCGGTGTCAGCTCCGGTGAGTGGGTGAGCCACCCGATGGAAACCAAACCCTTCCTTGAAAGCCGACTGCTGACGCTTCTTCAGTTTGAAACGGACAAGCAGGTCCTTCAAAACATCCGGGACAATGTTAGCGGGCACTCGCCGGAACACCACTTCAATAGCAAGGGGACGAGTAGCCTTCTCCTTAAGGTACGAAGCGTTCTCTGTATGCTGCCAGATGCACTTGATCGCCGGAGCATTCGCCTTCTGGTACTCAAAAACATGAAACTTGATGTGATGCGCATCCCGTTCGTCGAGGAAGGAGATTTGAAGCCGGCAGAATCGTGTCTTCGCGACGAAACCAGGTATCATCTCCTGTATGTTAGCCGTCACCCCAGCGTTCTCGGTTAGAGAAGAGCTCCAGACCTTGGTCATCAAAAGACGCACTGCAGCAATAATGGCCTTAATCTCCTGAGAAAGCACCATCGGGATGAGTAAGATTGCTGTATAACGAAGACGAAAAGCATCTTCCTTGGCAATGTCGATCTCCAGCTCTTCATCCTCATCATCCTCCAGGAACTCGTCAAGCACAGCAACAGGAGCCTGGTTGTCTTGAAACTTCTCTTCCACTGATAGTCCAGAACCACCGGCGACGTCAGCAGCAGTAGTAGTAGCCGATTCCTTGACGGACTGCGCAGCATTGTCCGTGACTGCATTAACAGTAACCGCATCGTTTGAGCCTTGCTTCTCAGCCCCATCCACAACAGGAGCCGGCGTGGTGATCGGATCCGTTAGGAGGTCGTCCGGGAGCGTGACCTCAGCAGTGACCTTTGACGACCGTTTAGGAGGCATGGTGCGATGATGAGTCTCAGAAAGCAGCCGTTTGAAAAAAGGCTGAGACCAAAAAAGAGCTGATGCTGCTTGAGGACTGAGCACCACCTCCTTATAAAAGGTTTTCGGAGCTTGTGACTTGCTCTCCTGAAGGAAGTGATGAATTCCCGAGGTCGTAGCCTTGGGATCATGTCTTGCATAGCGATCAGGAGTGTTGTTGTTTCTGTTTTTAATTTCATTGCAGTTGCGATGTCCATTGTAGGAGCCTTGGAAACTGCCGGAAGTATCAAGGAACCCTTGAGGTTGGTTAGCTTGAAATGTGTTTGGAACACTGAGATACCTCTGAGTAGCCGAGGTTATAATGTCCGCGTAGTAGACATAAAATTTTGTCAAATGTTGTAGCCTGTAGTGAGGTTTGTCTTAGGGGGTACAGAAGTTAGGGTTTGTCATATGTACCCCAACCAACATCAATGGAAACACCATTCCTCATTCTGACATGGTATCAGCTAGGTTAGGATCCTGTGGGATCCCGTTCCTCCGTTCTCCGTTCGTACCTCCCGAGCCTGATCCTACCTCTCGTTCGTACCAGTTCCGTTGTTACCCAGCCTAGCGCCCTTTCCCCCGTCGCTTAGCGCCCTTTCTCCCCGTCGCCTAGCGCCCCCCCCCCCCCCCCCCCGTCGCGTCGCGCCCTTTCCCCCCCCCCGTCACGCCCTTTCCCCCCGTCGCGTCGCGCCCGTTCCCCCCGTCGCGTCGTGCCCGCCTGTTCCCCCCCCGTCCCGTCGCCCTGTCCCGTCGCGTCGCCCTACCCCGTCCCGTCGCCCTGTCCCGTCCCGTCGCCCAGTCCCGTCGCGTCGCCCTACCCCGTCGCGTCGCCCTGCCCCGTCCCGTCGCCCTGCCCCGTCGCTTCGCCCTGTCCCGTCACGTCGCCCTGCCCCGTCGCGTCGCTCCCGCCCTTTCCCCCGTCGCGTCGCCCTGCCCTACGCCCTGGCCCGTCGCCCTGCCCTAAGCCCTGGCCCGTCGCCCTACCCTAGGCCCTGGCCCGTCGCCCTCCCTAAGTCCTGGCCCGTCGCCCTACCCTAGGCTCTGGCCCGTTGCCCTCCCTAAGCCCTGGCCCGTCGCCCTACCCTAGGCCCTGGCCCGTTGCCCTACCCTACGTCCTGGCCCGTCGCTCTAGCCCGCTCTTCCGCTGCGACTGAGTCCTCTTCCCCCCCGGTTGTTACTCGCCTGTTCGTTCGCTTTAGTCCTCACTATGGCGACTCCGCGAGTTCTTCTTTTCGACGCTGACGGTAGACCCCTTGACTTTTCCGTCTGGCTTCTTCGCGCTCGCCGTCTGTTAGAGAGTCAGGTCCAGGGGGGCGAGACCCTCTAGTCACACGCTACTGGTGACCTCCCTGAGCCCCCCGAGCCTACAGCTTTAGGCCCTGCTCCTGACGACGCTGCTACGGCTCGCTTTGCCCGTCAGCGCGCTGACCGGACGGCTTGGACGTCGCGTGACGCTGCGGCCTGCATCGCACTCAGCAGCCTCCTCCCTGAGTCCGAGGAGGTCCACTTTACTCAGGTTCGCACCGCTGCTGCGTACCTCACTGCGATTAAGGCCCGCTACTCTACTCCCGCTACTGTCTCTCTTGGCCGTCTTTTCCTCCCGTTCCTGTTTCCTGATCTTGCCTCGTTTGAGCGCTCTGCTGACTTGATCGCTCACCTCCGCTCGCTCGACGCTAGTTACCGCGCTGCTTGCACTGAGGCACAGCTTACACTGCTTCCTCCCCCCATGGCGATCACTGTCTATTTCATCGCCACTAGCCTCCCTGACCGCCTTGCCTCCGTTCGTGACGCGCTTCTGCTGAAGCACCCTAGTGAGCTGACTATCGAGGTCCTTGAGTCTGCACTGAAGGACGTCGAGAGCAACCTTCGTTCGGTAGCTGCCGCCTCTGGTACTGTGTCCCCCCCACTCTTCCACGGGTGCACAGTCCCGCAGTTACCCACCTTCACTGCCTCTCTTGCCACTGCCGCTACTGACGCGACTGCGGCTGCTGTTACGACTGCGTCGCGGTCCCGCGGCAGGGGGGGCAAGAAAGGTGGTTCTGGTGGAGGTGGAGGCGGAGGTAGCGGAGGTAGTGGGGGTGCTGTTGCGACTGGGGGTGGTGGGAGTGCAGCGTCTGGAGAGACCCCTCGTGCAGCGGCTGGTGACTCCACTGCACCTGCTGGTGGCGGCGACCCCCAAGCTCGTCAGTCGCCTCCTGTACTGCCGGCCCCGCTAGGTGGAGCAGCGGCGTGGTACCAGGCTCAGCGTCAGCAGCACCTTCAGCAGCAGCAGCAGCCCCTTTCCTCCCAGCAGCCTCAGCAGCAGCAGCGTCAGCAGCTGGCTCCGGGGTCGGGGCTGCGTCAGCCCCAGCGCGGTGCGGCTTACCCTCCCTGCCCCTACCAGGTTCAGACAGGTCCTCGTCGGGGCCACCCTTGTGGCCGCTTTCACCCCCCTGGTCAGTGCTTTGCTCAGCTCACTGACACGGTCCGGTTGACCTACGGGGTTGGCGGTCCTGCTCCTGACTGGCTTCCTCTGGTTTAGCGCTACGGCTCCGCTCTGTGGGGCATGTCTGCTGAGTAGTTAGTTGATCTGATTAGTGCTCCTCATGCTATGTATGCTGTTGTTGACTCTAGTGTTTCTGACTCTGTTTACTCTGGTGTTGTTAGCTTAGGTGCTGGTCTTGCTCAGTTGCCTGTTGCTAGTGTAGGTACTTGTGTAGACTCTAGACCAGCGACTACCTCAGGGGACGCTTCGATGTCGTTCACACTGGACTCTGGAGCCTCCCACTGCTTCTTCCGGGACAGCACGACACTTACACCACTTCCTGCGCCTGTTTCTGTAGCGTTGGCTGATCCCACTACGGGACCAGTCACTGCCCGTCACACTACCACTTTACCGTGTCCTGCTGCTCCCTCCGGGTCTCTCACTGGGTTTCACGTCCCCTCGTTCTCCCGGAACTTGGTGGGCGTGCGACCCCTCGTGAGTCAGCACGTGGGTGTGTGGTTTGAGCCTTCTGGAGAGACTGCGGTGTGTGTTGACGGAGACTCTTACCAGCCTCTTGCTACCTTTACTGCTGAGCCGGGCTCGGGTCTCTACACTCTTCACACTGGCCCGCGTGCGCCGCAGCAGCAGCCGCAGCAGCAGCAGCAGCAGCCGCAGCCGCAGCAGCAGCAGCAGCAGCACCAGCACCAGCGGCCGCACCAGCAGCCCCCCCTACTGCCACTGCCCCCGGTTCCCCCCCCCGTTCGGGTCCCCGTGTCTCACCAGGTTGCTTCGTCCCCCCAGGTGTCTGTGTCGTGTCAGGTTCCTACGTCTGTTCCAGTCGCTGCGTCGTGCTCCTGCCGGTAGCTTGCCCACCCCACCGTTCTGTGGCACCACCGGATGGGGCACCCGTCCCTTCCTCGTCTGCGCGCTATGTCTAGTCAGCGACTTGTCCTAGGCCTCCCACGTGTCTTGCCGTCGCTGCCGCCTTCGCTTGCGCCGCCGTGTCGTCCCTGCGTCGAGGGTAGGCTGCGCGCCACCCCTCACTCCTCCTCCCTTCGTCCGGCCACCGAGCCTTTTGAGACGCTTCACTTGGACGTCTGGGGCCCCGCCCCTCGTCTAGGCCCTGAGCGTGAGCGTTACTTTTTGGTGGTCGTTGACGACTTCTCCCGCTACACCACAGTGTTCCCACTGGCGAAGAAGTCTGAGGTGACTTCTACGCTGATCAGGTGGTTGCTCACCACCGAGGACACTCGTCGTCGTCGTGTCAGCTGTCTCCACTCCGACCGTGGGGGTGAGTTTCGCTCCGGCATTCTCGCTGGATTCTGTCGCGAGCAGGGCATTCGTCAGTCCTGGACGCTTCCAGAGTCCCCACAGCAGAATGGGGTTGCTGAGCGCTGCATAGGCCTGGTCATGGAGATCGCCCGCACCTCCCTGACTCACGCCTGTGCCCCCCATTTTCTGTGGCCCTACGCGGTCAGGTACGCCGCGCACCAGCTGAACCTCTGGCCACGTGTCTCTCGACCAGAGGTTTCACCGACCAGTCTTTGGACAGGGTCCCCTGGTGTTGCGTCGCGGTTTCGTGTCTGGGGGTGCTTGGCTCTTGTCCGCGACACCTCCGCGGACAAGCTCTCGCCTCGTGCCGTCCCCTGTGTCTTCCTTGGTTTCCCTGAGGACTCCTCTGACTTCACCTTTTACCACCCTCCCTCTCACCGGTTCTTTGACTCCCATGACGTCCGTTTCGAGGAGTCCACTCCGTACTACGTCAGGTACCCCAGTCGAGGTCTCCCGGTTCCTCCTCCCCCCCTCTTCCTGACTGCCGCTCCCCCTCCTGCTCCCCCGGTACAGCCTCCCCCCCCTGGCCCAGCCCCGTCAGGTGTGTCCCAGGCTACCCCTCCTCCTTCGGTAGCCCCTCCGGTACAGCCTCCCTCCCCACAGTCCTCCTCGCAGCGTGCCGCTGGTGCTAGCTCTGGAGAGGTTGGTGCTGCGCCTGTTCCTGTACCGGTTTCTGGTTCTGGGGGTGCTGGAGTTGGAGCTGGTGTTGGAGCTGGAGTTGGCACTGGAGTTTCTGGTTCTGGGGGTGCTGGAGTTGGAGCTCGGGTTGGAGCTGGAGTTTCTGGTTCTGGAGTTGGAGCTGACCCGGTGGGTGCAGAGGACTCTTGTCGTCCGGGAGCCGGTGCTGGCCGCGCGGACTCTGGGGGTGCTCCCTCTGGGGGTGAGGGTGCGCCTGCTTCGGGTTCTGGTGCGCCTGGGTCTGGAGCTGGTGTTAGTGCTGCCTCTGGGGGTGGTGCGCCTGGTTCTTCGGGGGTTGACTCTGGAGCTGCCGCTGCTTCGGACACTACTCCGCCCCCCCACCCCTACCCGACTAGGCACCAGGCTCGTGTTCGCCGTGCGCGTGACGAGCAGCTGGAGTTGGAGAGAGAGGAGAGGGAGTTACAGCGGCTGGCGGAGCAGCAGCAGCAGCTGGACCCGCAAGAGCAGCAGTCCCAGCAGCAGCCGCGTCCGCAGCAGCAGCAGTCGCAGCAGCAGCAGCAGCAGCCACTTCCTCCTCCTGTCTCGGGTCTTCGGGCCCTTGGTCTCCCCTCCCCTTCTCCTCCCTCCTCCGCCTCTCCTCCTGTCTACGGTCCCACGTTTCCTCCGCCTGACTCCTCCCCCGCTGTTTTCTCTAGTTCTCCGCCTTTGTCCTCTCCTCCTCCGTCTCGTTCTTGGGCTACTCGTCGCTCCCCTCGTGCTCGTCCCTCGTCTCCTGTTCCCTTCACTGACCTTCGTACTGCCTTACTTTGTTCCAGTCCACCTCGTCCGTCTCAGTCTGTGCTTCCGTCTCCTCCTGAGTCGGCCCTCACCGTGTCGCTCCCTGCTCCTGTCACTGACTACTACCGCACGTACCGTCCTGTTCTCTCTCGTGTTCTCGCCTCTCTTGTTTCTCACCCTCGTGCCTCTGTGTCCTCTGTGTCTGCTCTTACTGCCGCGGTTACTGACTTTGCCGCTACCCGCCGCCTTGACTACGCCACCACGCTTGTGGCTGCTCCTCCTACCAGTCCTCTGGCCGTCGGGGGTGTGTCTGCCCTTGGCTGTGACGCCCTAGAGGACAGGCAGTTTGAGCTAGAGTTCCTGGCGGCCGCTTCCCCTCATCTCTGTGCCATGCTCCTCGCCCCTGAGGGTGACCTCGACGCCCTTGACATTCCGACTCCTCGCACTTACGCTGAGGCAGTGTCAGGGCCTTGGGCCTCTCAGTGGAGAGCTGCCATGGACGCAGAGATGGCCTCCTACAGATCCACAGGCACCTACGTCGATGAGGTTCCCCCCCCTGGGGCGAACGTAGTCGACGGCATGTGGATCTACAGGGTGAAGCGGCCACCGGGATCTCCCCCGGTCTTCAAGGCGCGCTACGTGGCTAGAGGTTTCAGTCAGCGCGAGGGAGCTGACTTCTTTCAGACCTTCGCACCTACCCCGAAGATGACCACTCTTCGGATGTTACTACACGTAGCAGCACAGAGAGACTACGAGTTACACTCTCTCGACTTCTCCACTGCTTTCCTTCAGGGCAGCCTACACGAGGAGGTCTGGTTGCGTCGTCCCTCGGCCTTCACTGGCACTTTCCCTCCTGGGACCCAGTGGAGGCTGAGGCGACCTGTTTACGGTCTTCGCCAGGCCCCTCGCGAGTGGCACGACACTCTGCGTTCTACCCTCTCTGACCTTGGGTTCCAGCCGTCTTCTGCCGACCCGTCGCTGTTCGTTCGTCGTGGCTCCACACCGTTCTTTGTTCTGGTCTACGTCGACGACCTCGTTTCCGCCACTCCGGACAGGGTTGCTTTGGCAGACGTGAAGTCCGAACTGCAGAAGAGACACACGTGCACTGATCTTGGTGAGCTGCGCCACTACCTTGGCCTGCAGATCACTAGGGACAGAGCCGCTCGCACCATTACACTCTCACAGTCACACATGGTGCAGCAGATCCTTCAGCGGTTCGGGCTTCAGCACTCCACCGTACAGCGCACACCTCTCGCTGTTGACCACAGACTCACTGGTCCCTTTCCTGACGAGCCGTTTGAGCCTAGTGGTCCCTACGCAGAGCTTGTGGGTTGCCTCATGTACCTGATGACTTGTACTCGCCCGGACCTCGCCTTCCCTCTCAGCATCCTTGCGCGCTTTGTTGCGCCAGGGAGACACCGTCGTGTTCACTGGACGGCAGCTGTGAGGGTGGCGAAGTACCTAGCGACTACATCAGGCGTGGGGCTAGTTCTTGGAGGGCAGCAGTCTGTCGTACTCACTGGTCACTGTGACTCCTCTTACGCTGACGACGCTGAGACTCACAGGTCTACTCAGGGGTACTGTTTCAGTCTGGGTTCTGGAGCTGTTTCCTGGCGTTCCACGCGGTCCTCTTCTGTCTCGACCTCTACAGCTGAGGCTGAGATTTACGCTGGTGCCATGGCGGCACAGGAGTTGCGGTGGTTGACCTTCTTGCTCGCCGACCTTGGTGAGCGGCCGAGCTCTGCACCGACCTTGTTTACTGATAACAAGGCGTCGATCCTCCTCTGTCGTGAGCCGCGACTGGAGAGCAGAGTGAAGCACATTCACATCAGGTACTTTCTTCTGCGAGAGTTGCAGAGACGTGGACAGGCTCGCTTCGAGTTCGTGGAGTCCGAGGCCAACACTGCAGACATCTTCACCAAGGTGCTTCCGCCTAGTGACCACCAGAGGTGTTGTGTGCAGTTAGGCCTTGTTGAGACAGGTTCTAGTCATGTGTAGACTTGAGTTTATTGCCTGCTTCGTCTGTACACTTGCTATATATACATGTGATCTCTTGGACTGGCCTTGTGGCCACTGTTGCTTGTGCTCAGAGTGTGTGGTGACGTTGTGATCCACCCTGAGCTTTGTTTTCTTTTGGACTGGTCTTGTGACCGTACTCTTTTTGATTTTGCTAGACACCCCTCACTTAGGCTATGGGGGTGTGTCAAATGTTGTAGCCTGTAGTGAGGTTTGTCTTAGGGGGTACAGAAGTTAGGGTTTGTCATATGTACCCCAACCAACATCAATGGAAACACCATTCCTCATTCTGACAAATTTATATCCTCCGCTTCGTAATGTACTCAGGAACTCGAAAATGGTCTCAGAGTTACGAACTGATAAGTAACCTTCACGAAATAGGTTCTCGTTAATCCGCGGAGAAATCCATGGCGGCCAGGACATCCTGGCGTCACTCCTGAAAGACTTTAAGCTGTTGCAACCTGTAAGATACACGCGTACCCTTTTGAAGCAGTGAAATTGCAGTACACATCTGTGATGTGCATAGACTGTCGTTCAGCATAACAATATATGTTACTGGTGTAGTTTATGCGTACCTAGTCTTCCGTCCACTCGAATTAGTGCACTGATAATTTACATTGCGGTGCGTCTCCTGCCCCCCAATCAAAATCACCTGGCGAGCTGCATTTGGGGCAGTACGCAACCTATAGGTGGTGACCGTTGTGGCGCGGTGAGTCTCCCGCGAAATTCAAATGCGCGACGCCAGTGGTAGAAATATGGTCTGCAGTCGCGATCGACTGCAACCTCGTCTGCGATTTCAGTGCACCCTGCCCTTCTCGTTTCCCCCATTCTCGTTCCTCTCCAAGCCACCACCCACCATTAAACCTACACTCTTCAAGCCCCCAAAACCCATTTCAACGCCGACCCATTTTCCGAATTCCCCCCACCGTTAACTTTTTCTTCGTCCGAATCTGCCCCACCACACCCCAGCAGCACCTCTTGCCCTTTGGCCCCTGTGGTGGCACCTTGTCAGCTCGAATTTATCGAACCGCCTTCAACCGACAAATTCAAGTGGAGGGGCAACGGACCGCCTGGACCACATGTCGCCCAGGTCCCTGCATTTATGCTCAAATGACTAGCACCCAAAACAATCGGCTTTATTTTGGACCAGCATATTACATCGTTACATCATGGCAAGTACCTAGCCTTCGTTTTATCTCCGTGTTATCGGCTAGCCTTTCTACCAACGCCGAGGATTTGCCAGCAGGGAGACTTTGAGCGCGTTACTTACGGCTCGTGAGCTCGCGCAACGATCCTTTAAAACCGCGCTTCAGAGCAGCAGGCCTCAGTTAACCATCCGTTGGCGCGCGCGACGGTGAAGCAATTCCTCCCACGTTTCTAGGCCCACATTTCTCTTAACTCATCTCCAATCCGCTACACCCCTCGACGCTTCTCCCGCATCGGGAATCATGGGGGGCTTCTCGCTGCTCCGCGTGCTCCTGCTTCTCACGGCGGGGATTGCTCTCCTATCGAACGAGCGCCATCAAGCGCGCGCGCAAGACTCCTTGCCCGAATCGGGCCTGGAAAGACTACCACAATTTGCTAGAAGTTCCAATCTGAATGACTCTACTGTGGCTGCTACTAGTTCCGACGATGTACTCAAAGGCAGCGATTGCAACGGCGAGAACGGCGGCGACGGCGGCGGCGGCGCAAAATCCGATGATCGTGGTGTGACGGTAAGGAGCTTGTCCAGCGACAACAATCCCGGCGAGCCGTCGATTGAATCATCGGATGCAAGCAAGGCCGAGAAGAAGGCCGAAAGTAAGAGCAAGAGCAAGGGCGGTGGTGGTCGGAGGAGGACCAAGAGACACGGCAGTGGGAGGAAGGTAAAGGCGGGTAAGAGGGGGAAGCGCGCCGCTCTCAGCGGTACGCTGAGCACGGAATTGAGCGATGCCGCGACGGTGGGTGAAGCGAAGCGAACGAGCACGCCGGGCAGCAAGACGGGCAGTAAGGCGAGCGACGCGAGCAGTAGTAAGAGTGCTAGTGGCAGCAAGGCCAGTAGCAAGAGCAGCAGCAGTGGCAAGAGCAGCAGCAGTGGCAAGAGCGGCAGCAGCAGCGGAAAAAGCAGCCAGACCAGCAGCGACGCGAAGAGCAAGGACAAGGGGACGGAGACCAAGGCGACGAAGGCGAAGGAAGGCAAGACGGCGTCGACAAAGAGCGGCAGCAGCAGCAGCAGCAGCGGCGGCGGCGGCGGCGGCGGCGGGAAGGTTATCAAGGCCAAGGGGAAAACGGGCGCACAAAGCGTGGAGGACGAGTCGACCTGCGACTTCGGGGAGGGAAGGTGCGTGCGGTTTGAACGTGGTAAACACTCCTTACCATAGTTACATGATTCTGCTGGTTTTTTTCTCTCTTTTATCCTCTCTGTTTTCCCATCAGAAAGCACATGCTGCGGCGTAATCCACGCTGAGATCGCAGCGCTCTGCTGTTTGACGGCCTGACGGATTCACAGCTCCTCGGCGAGACGGATCGAACACGTTTACTATGAGCAACCAACAGTACTTTTAGACGTGCCACCTCAGTACTCGCTCTCCTCCCTTTGTCGCTTCTCCCCCGTGCCCCTGCCTGTGTGCCGTCTCAGGTGGGTGATATCCCCCAACAAGGCCTTGTACTCGGGTAGAACGTGCCCCTTTATTCGCTCCAACGAGAACTGCCAGAACTTCTTTTGAGGCGCCTCAAAATTCCCTCTGCCCCTGTGTGTGTGTCTGTGTGTCGTCTCAGGTGGGTGATATCCCCCAACAAGGACCTGTACTCGGGTAGAGCGTGCCCCTTTATTCGCTCCAACGAGAACTGCCAGAAGAACTTCTTTTGAGGCGCCTCAAAATTCCCTCTGCCTCTGTGTGTGTGCGTGTGTGTGTGTTTCTGTGTGAGTCGTCTCAGGTGGGTAATATCCCCCAACAAGGCCCTGTACTCGGGTAGAACGTGCCCCTTTATTCGCTCCAAGGAGAACTGCCAGAAGAACGGGCGGAGGGACACGGGGTACCTCAACTGGCGCTGGCAGCCGCGCGGATGCGACGTTAACCGGTGAGAGGGGACTGTAACAAGTGCGGGAGTGTAGCGATTGCGGTGTACAATAACGGATATATTAGTTGTGCCATGAGTATAGCCGCGAGTGCGAAGCTTTTTTTCCGTTTCGTTCCCCGTCTTCCGCTGACCCCGTTTCCACTGTTTCCGCTCTCCCTCGTCTAATTCCTCCTTGGAAACTCGAATTCCTCTTCCCCCCGGCCCCTCCGCTTCCCCGCTCCCCCGCGCCCCTTCCGCCAGCCTGGACCCCGCGGCGTTTCTTTCCCGGTACCGCAACAAGGTATTCGCGATAGCGGGCGACTCGTTTTCGTCCAACTTCGGCAACGCCATTCGCTGCTCGCTGCACTCCTATTCGTCAACGGTGGACTTTTCGGGCGAGTTCGGCGGCACGGACGTGAAGGGGTACCGCGTCGCGCAGTATAACTTCACCTTCCTGCACATCTCGTCCGTCTACTTGGTTGACGCCGAGCCCATTGTAAGTAACGGAGCAGAGGGGTGCGGTTCGGTACAAGCAGGTGCACGAAGGTGCAGGGATGTGCGGGGAGACGTGAAGCGGTGAAGGGGTACCGCGTCGCGCAGTATAACTTCACCTTCCTGCACATCTCGTCCGTCTATCTCGTCGACGCGGAGTCCATTTTAAGTAGAAGGTGCAGAGACGTGCGGAGGGGTGCGGTTAGGTACAGGATGGTGCAGGGCGGTGCGGGGTGCGTGCAGTAGAGAAGGGGTACCGCGTGGCGCAGTACAACTTCACCTTCCTGCACATCTCATCTCTTTCTCTCTTCTTTCTTCTTTCTTCTTTCTGCTTTGACTTGTTTGAGACATTTCCAATCTGTCTCACTCGTTTCGCCTCTTCTCTCTTCTCTCTTCTCTCTTCCCTCTCTGCTCCTCAGGGCGCAGCCAAGAGCTCGGGCGCGTGGAAGGTGTACCTGGATACGCCCCGGGATAAATGGGGTGACATCCTGAATTACCTTGACGTCTTCATCTTCAGCGCCGGCCACTGGTTCGTTAACGTGAGCGCGCTTCTCCCCCCCACCCCACCCCCCCCTTCCCCCTTTCGCCCCCGACACTCTCTTTCTCTCTCTTCTCCTTCCGCCACTTTCCATCTCCTTTTCTATCTTTCTATCCCCGTCACTCTCTTTCAATCTTTCACCCCCTCGCTCACGCCCTCCCCACACACTCCCTCCCTCTCTCTCTAACGGTCCTTTCATCTCTCTATCCTCCCCTCTCCCGCCACCCGTCCACCAGGCACCGTCCAGTCTACGCCAATACTACATAAAGGGCGTGCAGCAGACGGGGATAACGGGCTTTAAAGCCATGGAGATCGCGCACGCCACGGTTCGCGACCACATAATCCGGTCCCGCTATAAAGGCATCCCCGTTATGCTCTCCTTCTCGCCTTTCCATGACGAGGAGGCTTATGGCGGGCCGGACTCGGGGCGCAACTGCAAGGGCGCCAAGATGCCGTTTACTGCTGCTGAGCTGGCGAATGCGGAGAAGTATGGTGATGCTTCAGAGGCAGTGGGAGTGCAGTTGAAGGTGTTTGAGGGCGTGACGTGGAGCCCTCCCCCTGCTGCTGCTGGTACTGCCGGTGCTGCTGCCAGCACCAAAAGCAGAATAAGCAGCAGCAGGAGAAGCAGCAGCAAGAGCAGCAGCAGGAGAGGCAGGACGATGAGTAAGAACAGGATGGGTAAGGGGAGGAGCTCTGGATCGTCTGTCAGGGTGGGGACGACTAAGGGGGTTGAGGAGGGGGACAGTGAGGAGGAGGAGGTTGAGGTTAATAGCACGGCCAGGAGCTTACTGACTAGCAGCAGCAGCAGCACCAGCAAGAGTGCCTCTACTAACAAGAGCTCCTCCTCTTCTTCTTCGTCCAAATCTCCCTCGGGCAAAACGAGCACAGCCAAGCCACAGGAAGCAGACGACCGCAACGCCGACACACCCTCGTCGTCACCCTCCTCAGGCAGCAGCAGCAGCCGCAGCGGTGGCAGCGGTGGCAGCGGCAACGGCGGCAACGGCGGCAGCGGCAGTAGCAGGAGCAGCAGCGTGCAGTTCCGAATGCTAGACATCACGCACCTGTCGCTCATGCGGCCGGATGGGCACCTGCAGAACTACACGGGGGGGCCTGGCACGGACTGCTCCCACTGGTGCAACCCGGGCGTTCCTGACACCTGGGCTGATATTCTCTACTCCATGCTGCTGCTGTGAGCGGTGTGCTGTGAGCGGCGTGCTGTACGGGGTGTGCCACCATATTGCTGTGTTGACCCTTGTGTTGGCACCCTGCCGTGCTGAGGACACCAGCAGAGCTGATTCATGAGAGCTTCAACCATGGCAGCAGTGCTGCAACCAGTAGTTGCAGACACGTGCTGTCACCTAGTGGTAGTCTGGTAGGTAGTGTGTGTGGTAGTTGGACTGAAGCTGGTTTTGTAGGTCTCTCATAAATCAGCTCTCGCATGTAGCAGATCTCATTCGATAACCTCATATTTAAACAAATATATGTATGTAAGGAAAATTCCTTTTCCTTAGCGTCCCCGCTCAGCGCATACACCACTGTAGCACCACAGTCAGCACCGTTACCACTTGCATCGACAATCCTCCCGCCACCTTCGCACGTCGCACCCCGTCCTCACGGCTCGGCGGGTAACCCGCGCTCCGGGCCTCCGCTTCGACACTCCCCCAAACCTCAGTCCCAGGCCCATCGCGCGATAACCACAGTCCATTACTGTTACCACTGTAGTTTCGCTATATATTCTTCGCTCATGCCTTCGCTCATTGTACTCTTGCTTCGATAGTGCAATTCTCGCTCGATCACTCAATAGCACTCGTAACACTTGGTATTCAAAGCCTACGATCTCTTCTCGGACCGCACCCACACCTTCGCTTCCCCACTATCTCAATTTTTTGGGGGGGTAGACGTCTCTCAGCGACACAGCACCGCCGCTCGTAGTGCTCTTTCGTAAGCACGCACGGCCACGACAGAGGCTCTCGCTGAGCTTGCCCGACACCCCCGCCATGGCCGAATTTACTCTCGCGGCACTAACGCAGGAACAACTCGACCGTCTCGTGCGCCAAGTTGAAGAATCGGCGCTCGAAATTGCGACACTCACGGCGGAACGTGACTCCGCGCGTCAGCAATCCACGGTGAATACTTCGGCGCCACCACACGCACCTGCAAATGCACATGCACAATCGGAGGAGCCGATCGTCATTTCATCAGGCACACCAACACAGAACGACAGTGTAGGACAGCGCTCAAGCGCAGCCAGTGATGGCGCCGCCCACTCGATGCCGGGCATGGAGAGGAACAGGGTTGCGCCAAGCCCACGGGAGCCTCGCGAAGCCCGTCGACACGTGGAATTTGCGGCGACAAGTGGCGACCACGCCATCATGACGCCAATGCCACTGAAGCCGCAGCGCCCACCCTGTTTCGTGTTGAGATAGTAGCACAAGTGGTAGTTAGGTTTAGGTAGGGCCTAGGCTTAGTAGCCTAGGCCAAGGGGAGTCGAGATAGTTGTGGCAAGGGAGGAAGTCGAGAATGGGATTGATGTTCACTATAGCACTGTTAGGTACATATAGCAAACAGAGCATGCAAAGAAGGTGCACCACCAACAGTTTATAATAACTACACTAAACTACAGCTACAGGCAGTTACATATATATTCTAACATTTCGACCCGAGTCAGCGTGGAGGTCCGACGGTTCAGTCGTGGGTCTTCACGATGAACGTATTTTTCGACGCAAACTACGTCGAGTCGGACGCAGCGAAGATCAGATACGCCGTCTCGCTGCTGAGGGGCCCCGCCATGGACTGGTGGCGAGTCATCGTGACGTCGCCACGCGCCTACGAGCCACCGTCGCAAGAGGAAGGGCCCACGGGTCCAGCTGACACCTGGGGTTCATTCTGCGAAATCGCCCGGTACAGCTCGTGGGATGCGTGGTGCGCAGGGCTTCGGGCGCGCTTCGAGCCAATCGCGGCTTCTATTTCGGCGCGTCAGAGACTGCGTACTTGGCGGCAGCTCGGGTCGGTTCAAGACTACACGAGCGGTTTTCTCGCATTATGCGAGCAAGTCGGCTACATGCACGAAGCGGAGCGGGTGGACCGTTACGTCGGAGGGCTGAAGCCGGACATTTCGCACGAAATCATGCTACGCAGACTCTCGAATTTCAACGAGTTTCTCGCGCTCGCCGAGAAAATCGACATTTTGCGTCGTCCGAGAGCGGGGTCCTACTACGGACATCACCTTCGGGGACCGATCGAGCACGCCACCGTACATGCCGTTGCGACGAATGCAGCTGCCGCGCCGTTAAAGGGGCGCTGCTTTGCTTGCAATAGGCCGGGCCATCGCAAGAGTGAATGCCCAGAGGAGCTGAGGCTCCGCGGAGCAGAGCAGGGGAGAGAGTCTCCAAGGCAGGGAAACGCCAGCAGTCAGTAGGAATTGGGCCAACTACCGACGAGACTGCCTGCTCGCCCAACCCCACCGGCCCTCACCGAGTCACGGTACCGATTCATGCTATCGATCGGGCTCGGACGAATAAGGAGGGTACAGCGACGGATTGCCCAGTACTGATCCACGGGAAAATACAGGGAGCAGCAGTGAAGATTTTTATCGACGGAGGAGCAAGTCACAATTTAGTTAATACCGCAAACGCACGAAAACTGCAGCTGACACTTAGCCGTTGTTTACCTGAGATAGATGGATGCTTAGTTAACGGCACGCCACTGGCCTTACGGGAAAGGGTGGAGAGAGTCAAAGTCCGCTGCGGGGGAAATTTTGGATTTACACAGGAAATGCTCGCGACGACACTAGATGGGCAGGACATTTTAATGGGACGTGATTGGCTGCGACAGTATAACCCGCAAATTGACTGGACGACAGGTAGCTGCACTGTGCGAAGTAGCGGTAACTGGGTTGAGCTACCTCGCTGGCAGTCGCCTCAGTCTTCAACGGTACACGTCAACGCCGTCACCATGAAACGGGCTGTCGCTGCTGGAGCTGACGTGTACGCAGTAGACATTGCAGTGGTAGAGGGAGCAGAGCAGCCGAGTGATTTCAAGAAACTGCTGGCAGCGGTACCGCCCGAATTGCAGAAACTGTTGAAACGATATCCCGGGATTTTTCCCGACGACTTACCGGAAGGACTGCCACCTCAGCGAGCACATGGCCACCGAATAGAATTAGAAATGGGGGGCACACCCAACTGTACAGCGCCATTTCAGACTGACACAACCCGAGCTCGACGAGCTGAAGAAGCTGTTAGATTACTTGTTAGAGAAGAAATTCATCCGACCGAGCTCGTCACCGTTCGCCGCACCGATACTGTTCACGCCAAAAAAAGACAGAGGGTTTCGCATGTGCATAGATTATCAAGCGCTCAACAGGGTAACTGTCAAGTCGTGGTACCCCATTCCCCGCGCCGACGAACTGATCGACCAATTGCGAACAGCACGGGTTTTTTGGAAAATAGATTTACGGGGAGGTTACCATCAGATTGGGGTCAAACCATCGGACTGCACCAAAACAGCTTTCCAGACTCGGTACGGGTCGTTCGAGTACACCGTGATGCCCTTCGGGCTGACCAACGCACCTGTGACATTTCAGATGACCATGAACGAGGCGTTTAGGCCACTTTTAGATAAATGCGTGATAGTTTACCTCGACGACATCCTCGTCTACAGTCGTGACAAGCAGCAGCATTTAGCCGATCTGGAAGCAATATTTCACATTTTTGACGAGAATCGGCTACTAACAAAGGGTTCCAAGAGCGAGTTTTTTCGGGACAGGCTAGAGTTTTTAGGGCACGTTATTTCGGAGGCAGGGGTCGAAATTGACCCAAAGAAGTTAGACACGATGAAAGCCTGGCACCCCCCGACGAATATCACGGAACTACAGAGCTATTTGGGGTTCGTCAATTACGTGCGTCGGTTTGTCCCCGACATGGCACGATTAACAGCGCCGCTGACGGAATTGTTACGGAAGGGGGTTGCTTTTACGTGGGGGGAGAAAGAGCATGCTGCCTTCTCTACCCTGAACATTGTTCTCTGTTCACAGCCCATCCTGCGCATCGCCAATCCACACTGTCCATTCGAAGTAGTTACCGACGGAAGCGACATCGCCATCGGAGCCGTATTGTTACAGGATTTCGGCTACGGCCTACAGCCCATCGCATACGAGTCACAAAAACTGCATCCGCGCGAGAAAAATTACCCGATACACGACCGCGAAATGCTTGCGATCGTGCACGCGTTGAAAGTGTGGCGCTGTAACTTGACCGGTGCAGACGTAACAGTACGGACAGACCATAAATTACTGCAGTACCTCCGCGCACAGCCACACCTCAACCTACGACAGACCCGCTGGCTCGATTTCCTCGAGTCAAATTTCCACTACACCTCACCTATAAAAAGGGCACATCGAACATCGCTGACGCTCTGACCCGCCCTGAGAAAACTGAAACGAGAATGAATGCACTATGAAAGAGTTGGGTACAAGTACTAACCCTAATTGGGTTGTACCCTATATGGGCTACCCCACTACAGCCTACACAAAAGCATAAGCTATAATGTTCTGACACACCCCCATAGGCAAAGTGGGGGAGTACAAGGGGTCACAAGACCAATCAAGCAAAGCAAGCTCAAGGTGGATCACAAAGTCACCACACATTCCGAGCAGAAGGTCAAGGCCACAAGGCCAGCTCACATGCAGGAGTACATATATATATAAAAGGCTAGAGAAGCAAGAGCAGGTGTAAATATATATGTGACACTACAAGCAAGGTCAAGAGGTGAGCAAGTGAGGCAAGGCAGGCACAAGACCCAGCTGAGTACAGAAGCGCTGATGATCACAAGGTGCAAGCGCCTTGGTGAAGATATCAGCAGTGTTGGCCTCAGAGGCCACGTACGTAAGACGCAGCTGACCACGCTGCTGCAGCTCACGAGCAAGGAAGTAGTGGAGAGCAATGTGCTTCGTTTTGTGCTCCAGTCTCTACTCTCAACACAAGGCCAGCATGGCCCTGTTGTCTACGTACAGCACTGGAGGAGAACGAGGCGGCTCTCCGAGGTCAGTCAGCAGGTAGGTGAGCCAGCGAAGCTCCTGAGCAGCCATGGCCCCGGCGTAGATCTCAGCCTCACAACTGGAGCCGAGAACAGAAGACGAGCGAGTAGCCCTCCACGAAACAAAGCCGGAACCAAGGCTGAAGGTGTAACCCTA